GCTATTCAGGAGGCTGAGGCAGGAGGATTGTGAATTTAAGGTCAGCCTAAGCAACTCAGGAAGATCTTTCCTCAAAACAAAATTTTAAAAGGCACAGGGTTATATAACTTAGTGATAGAGTGCTTGCCTATCAAGTGCAAAACCCTAGGTTCAATTGCCAGTACTGCAACGGAGTGGGCAGGGGGTATGCATTACCACAGGGAAACCACTTAAACACTGTAGGTTTCTCATTAGAAATCACAGGAGCCAGAAGGCAGGGAAACAATATTTTTAATGCGTTGAAAAAAATGACTAGTCAATTCCAAGCACCACAGAAAGAGAAAAATAAATATATATTAAAAAGATAAGAGCCAAGAACAGTGTGGATGCTTGTAATCCCAGGTACTCAGGAGGCTGAGTGAGCAAGACTGCAAGTTCAAGGCCAGCCTGGGCAATTTAGCCAGACCAGGTCTTAGAATGAAACAAAACAATTACAGATATAGACCAGTGGTAATGTGCCTGAGATCCATAGACAGATACAGAGAGACACAGGATTCAAGGATACTAGTCCAGAAGACCCTTCAGAAATAAAGGCAAAGACATTTTTAGATGGGAAAAAAAAGAGAGAATTGGCCACAAACAGACCTACTCTAAAAGAAAGGAGAAAGGAAGTTCTTCTAAAGCATAATTACATCAGATAGGAAAAGGGAACCTGGAACTTCTGGAATGAAGGAACAATTCAAGTGGTAAATGCAATAAGCTATTTTCTTTTCTTTTTTTTTTTTTTTTTTTTTTTTGTCTTTTTCATTTTTATGGGTACCGAGGATTGAACTCACAACCGCCTGCTTGCAAGGCAGGTGCTTATGCAGCTGAGCTAAATCCCCAGCCCTGCTATTTTCATTTTTTAATGGAACCTAGGCTCTCCTACATGCTAGGAAGCTAAGTAAGCATTTTAGCTAGCTAGTTGTTTCTTTTTTTTTTTTTTTTTTTTTTTTGTCTTTTTCCTTTTTATCGGTACCAGGGATCAAACTCACTAGTGCTTGCTTGCAAGGCAGGCGCTTACGCCACTGAGCTAAATCCCCAGCCCCTTGTTTGTCTGTTTCTTGCAACAAGGTGTCATAAATTGCCCAAACTGGCCTCAAATTTACAATCTTTCTGCCTAAGGCTTTGGAGAAGCTAGAATAACCAGATGCTCACTATCATGCATGGCTTATTTTCCTGTAAAGTTTGAAAATACGTATAACAGTTGAAAGCAAATGTCTTTTCTAGTAAGACTTTTTTTCTTTGCTGTACTGGGATGTAATGGGAATTGTATCCAGGGGAGCATTGATCTAAAGCCCTGGCTGTTTTGTTTTAAATTTTCAAACAGGGTCTGGCTAAGTTGCCCAGGCAGGTCTTGCACTTGTGATCCTCATTCAGTCTTCTGAGTACTGGGATTACAAGCATGCACTAGCATGACAAGCACTGGTGAGATTCTCTACATAGACAGACACAGAACCATGACCTGAAAGAGTGGTGCAGAGCTCTTTTGGCACCCTGCTTCTCCCCTTTGTGATGTGGTAGCACACTTTCTAAGTAGGCTGGGAAAAATTCAGCTCTTTGACAGGTGAATGGGCAAACTGTTTACATTCCAAAACTGAATGGTATTTGGAATAAAAACAAATAAGGGCCAGGGGTTTAGCTCAGCGGAGTAAGTGGCTGCTTGGCAAACGTGAGGTCGTGAGTTCAATCCCCAGAATAAAACAAAACAAGTAAGTAGTCAAGGCACCAAAAGATAGAAAAGGAATGTAAATCCATATTACTAAGTCAATGAAGCTCACTTAAAAGGCCCTGCACCTGCACTGTACCACTTCCCTCTATGACATTCATCAGGAAGAGGCAAAACTATGCAGACAGAAAAGAGATCTGTGATACACCAGGACTGAGGAGAGAGGAATAAGGAAGTAGAGTACAGAAAGTCTTCAGGGCAGCAAAGCTATTGTGTACACTACAATGGTGAATCAAGTCCCACCAAACACAATTTAATGAGACTCCATGTCAAAATAGAAAAAAGGCTGGGGATGTGGCTCGACAGCAGAGCACCTGTGGGTTTGATCGTCAATACCATGAACACGTATACACACACCAAATGCAGAGGGGAGGGGATGGCTCAGTGGTAGAGTTCTTGCTCAGCATGTTCAGGTCCCAAGTTTAATCTCCAGCAGAGCAAGAATAAATAACACCCAGGAGTTGCTTAACAGAAACCAGTCAAGACTTCAATTTGATGCTATTTAGACAGAGGCTGATTCCTGAGTGTGGTCTCTGCTACACATTTAGAGCAGCTCATTCTAGGTTGAACAGTAGTGTACTGGAGCTACACACAAACTCAGCTGTAATCCTGCTACTTGTAGATGAAGCCCCAAATTGACTTCGAGGTAAGTAATGTAATAGAGACTCAGAGCACAGCCTTGCAGATGCCCAAAGTGGGATGAAGCCTGGCATCTGCCTTTTTTTTTTTTTTTTTTTTGTCTTTTTCCTTTTTATCAGTACCAGGGATTGAACTCACAACTGCCTGCTTCCAAGGCAGGTGCTTATGCCCCAGCCCCCTGCCTTCTCTTTTTGTATCCATCTCATTATTATTATTATTATTTTGTCATTATTACCTAAAACCTTTGGGTCAGATTCCTATACTGCACATAGGCACCTGTTAATCACCTAAAAAGTATCCACAATACAAAATCTATTAGCCTGAATTTATTTAGCCTATCTCATATCCTTTCAACACTCAGAACACAGAGTAACTAATTTTCAAAGTTTTCAGGGCCATTCAGTCACTAACTTTAACCATGTCCAGTTCCAGACTAGATCCCCTAGGCCTAGGACAATGCCTGCAAGTCTCCAGTGACTGTCCTACCCCTTTGTCTTGGACTCTGAGAAAAGCAGAGCACTGCACATCATTCCATGCTGAGGTCACCCCCCCAAAAGCAGGAGCAATTACCCCATGACACAACTGAGACTACTTCCCTGCAATGTCATCCCACTGGTTCACAATGGGAACCAAACTGCCCCCTCAAGCCACAGAAATTCTCCCAGCACCTCACAGAACCAGTCCTGAGATAATCATCAACCAAGCAAGGATTGACCAGGATTAGCTACCATTATGCAAATCCCCAATCCTTTGCTGTTCTCCTTTTCTACAAAACCCTTAAATCCTGCCCCTTAAAGACTCATCTTGAACCTCTTCATCTGTCCTCCCAGCATAACCATGCTGATTAAGGCTTCTATCTTTAATTCACATTTTAAAAGAAAGGCCAAGCTTGGTCTGTTGGGACTTTCACAGCAAGGGATTTCACCCTAAAACTCTGGTAATAGTAAGACAGAGGATGTCAGGGGTGGTAGCAAATGCCTGAAATGCCAGCACTGGGGAGGCTAAAGCAGGAGGATCACAAGTTTGATGCTGGCCAGGGCTTTATAGTGAGGCCAACCTAGACTACACAATGACATCATCTCAAAAAACAAAACAAAACAAGACAGAGGAAGATATTTCTTCAACTAATACATAAATACACAAAAATAAGACTAAAATGCTAATGCACTATTAGAACATCACACTCCAAGATGTGGCTTTTCATGTCTTATAGACAAATAAAACTTTCTGATAAAATACCACTCAAAACAGCAAAAGTCCAGACCACCTGTCAAAGACACATTTCTATGATCCTCACAGTGTTTCAAAACATTTTAATGCTGGGCATGGTGGCACCAAGTGAGTTTGGAAGACTTCGGCAGGACTGCAACTTCAAGCCAAGCCTGAGCAACTTAATGACTGAGCAAAACTTTATCTCAAAAAATAAAGGAGGGGGATGTACAAAGGTCCTGGTTTTACCCCCCAGGACCACCACCTTCAAAAAAAAGTTTATGAAGACCTGAATTAGTTGGTGTGGTGGTGCACATCTGTATGTCCAGCACACTGAGAGGACGAGACAAAGATCCCAAGTTCCAGCCCAGTCTTGGCAATTAGTAAACTAGTGAGATGCTGTCTCAAAATATAAAAACGGCCAGGGATTTACATCAGTACAAAGGCCTCAGGTTTTGTTCCCCTGTACCATAAAAACCAACAAAACCAAGTTTCCAGCTTCTTTTGAGAAATATCAGAAGCTGTGAGCCCTAAGGGGCCGCTGACATACAGTACAGTTCTCACACCCAGCGGCAGTAATTTTTTTTTTTTTTTGTCTTTTTCATTTTTTATCGGTACCAGGGGTCAAACTCACCACCGCACACTTGCAAGGCAGGTGCTTATGCCGCTGAACTAAATCCCCAGCCCCTGGCAGCAAATGTTTTAACAAACTTTTATCCTGGCTCTAAAAACACTGGGACACATCTCCCTTCCCAACTCAGGCCTCAAATGGGTTATCCTAAGGTCTAGGTTTGGATTTGGTTTTATAAACTCATAAGACATACTGGCATGTTTGGACATACACAAATTCCTCTGCTTTCTGGTTATGTCTGCCCAAAAAGTCTGAAGACACTGTCTGTGAAGACAGAAAATTCTGAGCAGGCAGTCTGCTTAATTGATCTTTACATTTGGCCTTTATGTAATTCATTTGATTTTGATGCAGTAAGACATGACTGAAATTCCTACTTGAAGCGCTAACAAAGAAAAGGAACTATCGTTCAGCAGAAAAGTCATTAACTAAATGATTAATAAAGTTAACCAAGTTGTGACTAGCAGCAACTGACAACCCTAGCTATTCATTTCCTACCAGTGTGTTCCTACCTATACAGCTCCCAACCATGAGTCTAACCAGAGTTCCGCACAAATGACTTATCAACCCAGTCGCACTGATGGAACTAAAATACTGAGATCCATCTTACATTCGGTTCCTTTCAGTGAGTTTCTAACAATACAGTTCCAACCAATGGGCCCATTCTTACAGGGTTCCTACCAGTGGATCTACCTCCACATAGCTCCCTCCAATGGACCTTCACTTACGCGACTCCCACCCGTGGCCCACTGACTCCACTTCCACGGAGAGGCCCACCTTTTAACATGGGTTCCACTGACGCATTTGGCTTCTAACAGTGGACCCCTATCCATAACGCTCCCACCAAATGATCCACAGGGAGGTGCTTCTCGCCGGTAGTACCCTGCACTCGTTTCCTGCTGTTGCGTCCCTACCAATACAGCTCCCACCAACGGGTCTATATAGGCTGGACTCCTACCCATGGGTGCACACTGACGTGGTCCCACCAGCCAGGATGCTCACAGGTGAGCGCCCCGCCGCCCCGCCGCCCCGCCGCCCCGCCGCCCCGCCGCCCCGCCGCCCCGCCGCCCCGCCGCCCGTCTTCACGCGCCGCCCCGCCCGAAACGCCAAGATGGAGGCCGGAAGCGCCACCGCCTTTGCCCGCCCGCCCGGCGCCCGCCTGACGCCGCCGCGCTTGACGCCGCCACCGCCCTCGCGCGCCCGCCGCCCCTCCCCCGGTCTCCCCTCCCCCCGCCGTAACGTCCTGACGCTCCGCAGGGACCCCTGACTGGACGGCGGCGCGTGAGCGGCGCGAGAGGCCTCGCCGCGGGGGGGCGCGACGCGATAGCGCCGCTTACCTGGGGCCGCGTGGGCCTGCTCGGGCGCCCGGCGGCGGCGACGGCGAGTGTGGTGGCAGCGGCGGGCGGCGGCGGCGGCCGCGGGATTCGCTCCTTGTTGGGGATTCGGCGGCGGCGGCGGCGGCGGCAGGGGCGCGGGCGCGCGCTTCCTAGTGACGCAGGCGGCGGGGCCGTGCACGTACGGGCCGGGCGGACTCTGCGACTTATTTGGCGCTTGGCGCGGAGGCGGGCGACGTCGTGAGATAAGGCCCAGAGAATCGTAGCGCGTGCGCGACCGGCCTTGGGCCCGTTCTAAGCGCCAGACTGGCCGTGAGTGCGACACGTAAGCTTTGGGTACTGCCAGTGGTTTGAGTGGGCACGGTCTGTTCGCGTGGGCAGACGCACCGAGGAGATGGTGGTCGGTGCCTGAGCGGAATCTGGGAGCAGTGTCCACGCAAAGCGATGCCGCAAAGCCTCGGTGGTTCGTACCTGCGAACCAGCTTCGCCATGTCTGGACGGTCGTCCGCCGCGGGGTCTGTGGCCGGACCATGCCAGCCAGACGACCAAGTGACGCGAGCGGAGCGCTAGCCAGGTGCCCTCCGTGCTCCCGGGCAGTGGGACAGCGAGGGGAGACCGCTGAGCGCGGGCCTGTTGGCGTCCTCTCGTTGCCAACTGTCGGGGCCATAAATGTGTTTTGGTTTTTTTGAAATAAGATTTTTACTGTGACAGGGTCTGGCTGGCGTTGAACTCGCAGTGATCTTCCTGCCTCAGTTTCCAGAGTACTGGGATTACAGACGTGAGCACATCCGGCCAAAAAATAAGTTGGAAGAGGACTTTTTTTTTTTTTTTTTTTTTGTCTGTTTGAGATAGGGTCTCCCTATGCGGTTCAGGCTGGCCTTATTTTTGTAGTACATCCTGGTCTCGAATTTACAAGTATCCTCCTGTCTCAGTCTTCTGAGTGCCAGGATTATAGGTTTGCGCCACCACACCCTGTTTGGAGAGGGTTTTGAGCATACTTGCGAACTGCTAAGGGCCAAGCTATGTTCTTAGGCTTGAACGTGAGCTCCGCCGTCCAGCAAAGCAGCCACCAGTGTGTAGTAATTTAAACTCAATGAAAATTAAAATCCAGTTCTTAAGCAGTCATTGCGCCGATAAAAAACCATAGACACAATGTAAGGGCTGTTGTAATTCCTGAGTTTTTTAGTTACAGGGAAAGGACTGGAATGAAGCATCTTGGATTTTCTTGGATACAAGAAGTGTCACTTAGCAGGCTTGTACTAAGTACCTTTGAGAGCTCAGTCCTAGCTGTGTGATTAAAAGATACAGTGTCATGTATCTCAGATATACCCCAGTGCGGTGGGCGGTACTTACCTTTGCCTTACCATAGCCTGGGCAGGCTATAAAGCATCGCCTTCTTGGCTTGAATTCTGTAGAGCCATGGTGACATCTTGGCTGACCTCCAGTGCTGGGAAAGCAGAGGTGGCCTGGGTCCTTTCCAGCAGGTCCTTTCCCTGTGTGCTGTATTTGCCCCCTGCTTCTTGTAGCAACTGAGCCAGCTTGAGCTCTCAGAATGTGGTCACAGGAGAGCCATAAAGCTGCAGGATCCCAGGTGCCCCTTCTCGGCGTCTGGAGTGGACAGGGAGTAAGAAACATGCAGTTTTGGACCAGGCAACAGCGCACTTTTAGGGAGGAAGCTGTCAGGATGGGTGTTTAAAAGCACACTTAACTGATAACTATCATTAGAAAGACTGCACTTTTCTGCACCCATTAAATGCACCCAGGCAGTGACAGGGAAGTCTTTGAACTGTAGTAGCCTTTGTTAGTGCTGCTGTTTTGATTATTAGTTGATAAATATGTATGTGTTTGTAGTTGTGAAACGCTTATGATAAGGTCAAAGAACTGCTGGAAAGGATAGGAATGGGCAACCTGGGCAGGAGGGGTAAGCAGTCTGGACACTTGCTGTCCTTGTCCCTCACTGCAGACAACCCAGCTTCTAGGGGACCCCAGGGAGAAGTAGGAGACTAGATCATCATGGTGGGAAGGTTTGCCTGAGCTCTTCTGCAGAACCCAGTGAGCTGGAAAACAAGGCAGATGCACCACCTTACAGTGTTTACATTCATTGCCTAAGCCTTATCTGCAGAAAGGATGAAAGGGCTCCTCAGATAAATTCATTTATTTCATCAATTGATGCTGCCACCTGAATGTTCCTGTATCTCCAGAATTTACACGTTGAATCCTAACCCCCACAGTGATGGAGGTAGGAGTGGGTTTTGGAAGATGACTAGTGCCCTTATAAAAGGGACCCTCAAGGGACTCTTTGCCCTATCCTACATGTGAGAACACAGCAGTGCACCTTCTAAGGTCCTAGGAGCACTCCTTTCCAAATACTTTATTTGCCACATCTTAGTCTTGGACTGCCAGCTGCCAGAACCATGAGCAATATTTCTTGTTTGTAACTCACCCAGTTTATGGTTATTTTTGTTTTAGCTGCCTAAACAAGCAGCCTTTCCCTGCTTCCAGAGGCACTGTGTGCCTTGGCACATGGCCCCTCCTCCATCTTCAAAACCAGCCTTTTGTCTCCGTCTTCCACATTTAAGGACTTTTGTGAATACATCAGGCTCATCTGGCTAGTGCAGGAAACCTCTTAATTTAAAGTTGGCAACCCTCATTAGATTTGTCGCTTTGGGGCTGGGGATTTAGCTCAGCGGCATAAGCACCTGCCTTGCAAGCAGGTGGTCGTGAGTTCGATGCCCGGTACCAATAAAAAAAAGAAAAAGAAAAGCTGAGATTTGTCGCTTTAACTACCTACCTTTAGCCATTAACCAAACACCATCTTGGAGGCAATTATTCTGCCTTCCACAACATTTATTAACTACAAAGGGAAAGGCACTAATTTTAAAGTGAAGTCAGATGAGGTTACCACCAGTGAGACAGGCCGACCCCAAGGATCTGTGAGGTGCACTGCTGAAGGACATACCTCACTTCTCCATTGTGCTTGCCAGCAACACACTACCCCAGTCCGGGACCGCAGAAACATCAAATAAACCCTAACTGAAGAACAGTTGGCAAAATAAGTGACTAGTATTCAGAAGCACAAAATTGTAAGAGAAAGAATGAGGAACTGTCACAGAAGAGATCAAGGAAATGTGACAGCCAGATGCAATGTGAGATCCTATGACTTTAGGAGAAAAACTCAAGAGTTTGCCCAAGGTCCAGTTAATAGAGTATAGTGGTAATTTATTATTAGCAACTCAGTTGTGGTTACATAAGATCCCAGCATTATGGGGGGCTGGATTAAGGATACATGGAAACTGTATTGTTTTATATTGTTCATAAGTCTAAAATTAGTTCACAATAAAAATTAAAAAGAACAAAGCCAGGCATGGTGGCATGTGCCTGTCTTCTCAGTACTTAGGCGGCTGTGAGTTCCAGGCCAGCTGAGGCTACATAGCAAGTTTGGGGCCACTGTGGATTACATGTTTAAAACATTTGGTGGGGGGAGGGCTGGGTTTTCTAGTGCTGAAGATTAAAGATTGAACCCAGGGCCGTTGTGCATCCTGAGCACTACCACTCAAGCCTCCAGAAAACATGTGATGTGCCTAAGCCAGACATGGAGTTTCAAGATAACTGTGGTAGAACTCCGTGGGAAGTGCCAGCAGAGGGTGTCAGCTGCCCAGAAGCCGACCTGGGGAGGGCTGTGAAGAGTGGAAATGAAGGTGACATTAGAGAGTGAGGAATGGCAGGTGAAGACAGCCCAGTTAGAGGCCAAGTTTCCCTGTTGCTGTATGCAGCCCAGCAGGTGGCATGCAAACTGGCCTACCTGGGAGGGCTGGCTGGCAGTCTGTTAAGACTCCCCGGGTGACTACCCCTGGGCCCTGGCCTCAGCTGTTTTGACTGAAAATCCAGACAATCCAGAACACAACAAATGTTTCTTCTTAGGTCATGTGGTAGGCAGGTGAAGGCCATTGCTCTGGATTGCTGCTGGCATCTGAGAAGTGGGCAGACTTGTAGGACTAAACCTTTTTAACGTGTGAGATTTGGCATTAGCTCCTGCTAGCTAGTCTCAGAGTTTAGCTGAACACCCAGCTGCTGTTCACAGAAATGGTTACTGCTGTAGAAAAGTACTGTGTTCTTGGTGTCACAAGAGTTAAAAAAAAAAACAATCCATACACTTGCAGAAAAATAATGACTATTTGTAATTGAGGTAGGATAGAAGTGAAGATGAGTGAAAAAGGAGACAAGGAAACTCAATTTTTTAAAAATTACACTTACTACCTTGTGCCTGGTCAGGTCCCTGCTCAGTTTGCCATATGGCATGATAATCGCTCACGGAGAGTCTGCGTTGCTCTTGGTTTAGCCCTGCATTTACCTACTCTTTTCCTACCCTCTTTGAGACTGGAAACAAGAATAATCTCCAGGGGTCTATAGGAGCACCCAATTCCAGACCTCCCTGGAGCAGCACCTGGAAGTCTCCAAACCTATAGTCAGCTCAGGTTCCAGGAAAGACAACCTCACAGCTCTCCCCATGATGAGGTGACCTTCCCTCCAAGCAAAGGCAACTCCCCCGTGTTGGAATGAGGATAGCCCCCACACACACATAAGCCAAAGCTGTCCCCTCATGGGGATCAAATTATCTGGGATCTCCAGCTATAAGAATTCCTCCAGAGCAACAGAACTGGACCTATCTCTTCTGCAGGACCCGGACC